TCAAATTTGCATAAAATAATTTACAGCCAGCTATATATAGGAAAAATTGTAACAACCGTACTAATTTCACTACAACCAACAAATAGAAAACCATGCAGATGATTCCTTTAGGTATAAAATGTATATTACCTCATGTAATTCCAAATCTTTCCGGAACAAAATAACATTACGAGATATATATGCATGCATGCTCATATTTTGCAAGCATTGCTAGTAATGCGTGTTTACACCCAGATTAAGATTCCTGAATAATTGTGGAGTGGTCTTGTAAATAAAAATTTTGAGTGTAAATATTACACGTTTATTAGACCAAGCCAGAAACAGTTCTGAAAAATAGGCCCTCTGAAAGGAATCGAACCAACGACCCTGCTATTTTGGTGCAGCGCTCTGATTAAATGAGCTACAAAGGCCAGCTGTCGAGCTCTAACCGCAAGTACATGTGCATAATTATACTGTATATAAAGGTATTCTTGAATAAACATTTTCTGTGAGAAGACGGTGTTTGTAGCTTGGCGGCGCTTAGACTTCATGGTGCGGCTTATATCACCGTAAGATTCTTGCAGTATATAGGCGTGCTTGTACTTTTTCCACAGCTGAGCTTTATGTTAATTGACATACCATATAAGTTAGAACATGTAGCGCATTGGTAAATTTAGAAGCCCTAGCTATATAAAGCTATCAAGAATATTTAGAAAATTATAGTTCAAATTTTTATGAAATATCACTGGTTTTTATTGGTAATACACAACATTTCGTTATTTTGAATTATGTTTTAATAACTTTATTAAAATGTACAACAAATAACAACTTGAAATAATTTTTTATTTCGAAATAAATACAGATAGATAAATTATACTATAATTTTTCAAATAGATTTTATATAATAACACTAAAAGTATTTATTTCTTATTTTTGTATGTCCTGTTGGTGTACGTATAAACTATTTAGGAGAGTAATGTTTTAAACTATCTGTTCAAACTTCAATTTATTCTCAAATAGTCTATGTCCTAAAATAAGTTCTTCATGGATGGTTTGACTGGAAATCAATATTAACATGATTATTTGCAAACAATGCAAGAACTGTTTCCGCCTTTGGTTTTTGGTGGACATAGTAGAAAAATTCCGTGTGGCCACAATACTTTCCGACAATTTTTTTCCAGTTGAACAAACCATCATCGCCCATTGGCCAGCCATCGAGATCGATTTTTTTATCAGCGTACTTGCTTCTTCCGAATATCACGAGCTTGGGACATTTTGCCGGTCCATCTATGCGCGATAATGGATCTAATATCTTCTTTAGTTTAGGCAGTCCGTCCACTCCAGGGATGGTGCCAATCATGAGGTTGCTATTGTGGCAATCGCCAGGGTCAAGGTCTTGAAGGTCCGGTGGTCCTGGGTAATAAGGAGTATCGCTTTGTTTAAGTTTACGCGGCATCTTACGCTTGCTGTCGAAAAGCGTTTTAACAACTTTATTCTTATAATCTGGCTTTTCCAGTTCATCTTCATAATGAATATACAAGTACGCAATTTTATTTATATCATCACTCCCGTGTTTATGAACGCTAATATCTTTATAGACTCTCCCAGCTAAATCTTCTACCGTAGCCCCTCCTCCCACAGCGGCGTCAGCTTGTTTTAGTAAAGCAAATACGCAAAATGATACGAACACTGCTAATACCTTCATTATAGTTCTTATTTTCAATCGCTAAGTATAACTTGTTCCACTCACCAGTAGGCATCAAGATTAAAACATTAACTGTGCATTATAAGGTTTTTAACTACTAATTACCGCATATATAGTTCGCGCTGTTAACCTGTTATATATTGAACAAAAATATCGTGCTGCTGTAACCTGCTGGATTGGACAAGACGCTCTATTAAGCGTTAAGTCCCTGGAGCTATGAAAATGTGTTATTTTCAAAATCATAACATTTGCTAAATTGTAAAGTAATCTGGCACAGTTTCGTAGCTACTGTACATCAACACAATTAGGTCAAACTATAACTGTCATGCATGAATATATAACTGCATCGTGCTTTGAATACGCCTATCATATTTGATCGAAAATAACATATTTTTGTAATTTTGTCTTTAAGTAAATAATTACTACTATCAAATGATTCCTGCCGCCAGTTTTTTTCTAATCGTGTTTAAACGAAACATGAAATGTGAACGGTTTTAAATAGGGCAATATAAATATATACATTACCATGGGTAAATGTGAATGGTTTAGGGACCGTTCATTATCAAAAGTGGGGGTGGAACCTAATAAAAAATGGTTGGGTCAAGAAAAAATGCTGGGTGACCAAGGTTGAGATAAACCAATTTCATATATTTGAAATGAGTGTGAATATGTCCGCTAATTTATGACGTCACATTGATTGCAAACTCTTCAAAATGTTTGAACATCACTGCTATCATCCATGATGATATAATTTCAAACTTCAGCCACTGGTAAGTGCGATGAAACACTGGAGAAAAACGTGAACTGATATCTACAGATTGTAGAGTTAATAAATTTATAACCAGTGTAAGTTGAGCTTGCAACCAATGTGACGTCATAATTTAGCGGACATATTCGCACTAATTTACATATCAAACAAATTGAAATATCTCGGGAACAAACCATCAAAACAAGAAACTTAAAAATACGTTAGACCAAAGCTTAAAAAAGTTTCATTTAAGAAAATTCAAGAAATTTTATGTCATATACAATTTTACTAAACTGCTTTAAACTGATTGGTCGATTTTATCATCACATTGTTTTCCCCACAAATCATTTTTGCATTGTGTTTACAAAGAAATGCACTGTGATTACAAAAAATTACATTGAGATTACAGAAAATTGCACTGCTGTTTGGGATTAACTGCACTGAAATCAACCAATCATAGTAGCGAGTAATATTGTTATGGATATGATTAGCTATATAAATAATTAGCTGTTGCTGTGGTTCGAAAGTGTTCATTATAAAGCGTGTACTGCAATATCTACTGATGTTTCGTAAAGCGTGCTCACTCAACTACGAGCTCAATTAAATCTCGACTGTAAACTGAAACAGTGAAATGACATAGACAACAAACGCGAAAAAGCTAGTAGTAGCACATATAAAAGTCCAAAAACGTTCAATACATGACCTATACTGGACATTCTAAAATACTGCATTCACATATCTTTCTTTCAGTCTTGACAGTCTTCTATATTACCATGATTTGCGTTTTGGGACAAGCATTATAAATTTAGAACCCCAAAGGTGTGGCAATTTGACATTTCTGCATGTACAGCTAATTAGTGTACAGCTATTGTTTTGTTATATCTTTAGTTTAACGACGATAAACCAAACCATATAGAGTATCGGTCATACTATTCAGACTATGTCATATTAAATGTACATCTTGCGTTGGCTCTGGTTAGTTTCGTACACTGTCAGCCAAAGTCAAAGACAAGTAAATAATTATATAAAAAATTGCCCATTCGGCTAACGCTTGTTTATAACTTTTGAAATTTCATGATGCCCCACACATTTGTTCAATTAGTAAACGAAAGCATACACACCATGAACAAAGCATTACAATCATTACACTATTTTGTTGACGGAACTGGATTGGAAAGAATAGAAGAGATTTACAAGAGGAAATTTATTGCAAATTATAGGCGGGGGAAGTACAGAAAATAAGGGACTAACAGCAAATTAAATTTCTTGCACGTGCTTTGCCACAGTTGAGACTGCAACCAATCATGCGTTAATAAATATGTCATAATCAAAGTGCGGTTGAAGAAAGTTGTGCCAGATAATTAGGTCAGGAATAGAGCAGTAGACTCGTAAACTGAAGACGTGAGTTCCAATCTCTCACGACGCTCTAAAATTTTCTTTTTTTCATTAGTGAATTGAAATTGAAACCTTTTTGGGAGTTAGCTATATTGCACCATGGATAATGAAATAAATGGATAGGACTCTAGCTGACGTAAGCAAAAACAACCTAGTTGCAATCTGTGACGTCACACGTATTTCAAAGTTCTCGGCATTTTTGTTGTTTCGCTATACTTTCCGCTTTAAAAGAGTAATATTGAAGCATCAACTGGTCTAATTGTTTCAAAAAACATGCCTAAGCCACGACAAAGTATTCAAGGTAAATGTTTTTCGTCTTTGTTTTGTATTTTTTTACATTTGTAGCTACGAAATTGGCGTCCCCAATTTTAGCGAAATTTGGGATGCATTCTTCACTGTTTAGTGCTTGAAATATTTGCTAAAATTGACTGGGAATACTTAGATATTTCATCGTAGAATGGCGTAGTTATATTCATTTGCTCTTTGACTAAAACTGTTTTATTGATAAACATGCCGTTTTTAGAATTTGGTTTGCAACTAGGTTTCAACATCCAATCACGCCATCAGCCGATTGAAAACATTAGATCACGTCAGCTAGTTTCCTATCCATTTATTTTATTATCCATGATTGCACTGAGGCCGAACAAGTGCAAAACGTTGTAAAACTTAAATTACGAAATCTTTCCACCAGTTCGCTTTAAAAAATTGAATTGACCATTTGCGTAATAGACTAAATTTTGATCTCAACAAAAATTCCATTACATCTTGAAAGAGCATCACAAAATTAGTAATATTCCAAAGTTTCGTTGCAAAATGTTGTAAAATGCGAAAAATATAGCCTTGCGAAATTTGCAATTTTCAGTCATTTTAGATTACAAAACGGAAATTGACAGCCTCGAAGGGATTGGAGCTGTCAATTTCCCGTTTGTAATCTAAAATGACTGAAAATTGCAAATTTCGCAAGGCTATATTTTCCGCATTTTACAACATTTTGCAACGAAACTTTGGAATATTACTAATTTTGTGATGCTCCTTCAAGCAGTGATGAAATTTTTGTCTAGACTTGTTTAGTTCAAAATTTAGTCTATTACGCAAATGGTCAATTGTAACTACATCAGAGATTGCATTTCCAGACCCCCGAAATTGAAATTTGAAAATTTGTTGGGAATTATCTATACTGCAATGAGTCTGGAGAAGGGAAAAACGTTGGAAAACTTAAGTTACAAAATCCTTTATCCAGTGCGCTTTAAAAGTCAGATTTGTAGCTTAATTCATCATAGATTTGAAGCCTGGACCCCTTGTTTAC